TAAATCTACAGTAATATAAGACCAACTTAAGAAACTATTATACATGATATACATTTCTCAGTCATGATTAATTTGCTATAATATTCAATTTCTCTGAGATGAGATATATACAGTCATCACTTACTACATATTCTACAAACTTTAACTCTTTCATTTTAAATATACACTTTGTTAATTTAACATAGAGCTTATACTCTGTCAGAGTTGTAAGCACTTCATCAAGATACTTCAGATATTCATTATATAAGTTTGAAAAGACTAGAATATCATTAAGATATATAAGATATGAGATTTCATTCTATTTATGAAGAATTATATTTATCATCATTTAAAAGATGATAAGCACATTTATCAGACTAAATAATATTATCAGAAATTCAAACTTTTCTTATTATATATTAAACATGATTTATAAAACTGACAGTTTATCTATACAGATCTGTCAGTAGTCTGAGAGAAGATTGATCTTTGATAGATATTAGATGTTTTTAACTGTATTCAACTGTTGTTGAATCTATAGTAATAAATATTCATTCTTGATTATAAGCTTATTAAGTGCTTGATAATTAATACATATCTGTCACTTCTCACCTGTCTTTTTCATAAATAGAACTGGAAAGTCTCACATACTTGATAAGAATTGTATGAGATTATATTCTAGAAGATCTGTAATCTGACACTTCTGTTCTTTGAGATGTATTTATGACAGAAGATACACATTCTGATTGACTGATTTTGCATTCTCTGTGTCAATCTCATATATAAATTCTTGTTTCAGCTGCAATTTCAGTGAAAGATCTGTTTAGAAGATCTTTTCATACTTCTTCAGAAGCTTCTTCATATGCTTATTCTCTTATATATTCTTTATCTTGATTTTCTCTGCTTTCAGATTCTGTATAATATACAGAATGCTTTCAGATGAGGTCTTGTAAATCATTCTCTTTACTTATTAATGTATAAGCAGATTTAATTCTTCTATATCAGAGATGTGAAATGTTCTTCTTATATCAGTTGATAGAATTGTATGAACTGTTTTCTTTCTATCAGTTAACTGTATATAATATGTACATCATTGAATTTGTGAATTAAATCTTTGAAATTAATCAAGTTCAAGAATAAGATTATATTTCACATTCTGCAGCTCTCACACTCAAATATAGTAAGATTATTCTTCAAAGTACAAGAGAACTCTTACTCTTGCAGGTGATATCAAATATCAGTTATCAGATAATCTTATATATTGAGAATTCTTCACTCAGCAGACCTCTTTCAGTCTTCAGATTATATAATCATTAATATATTATGTAGAAGCTTCTGTGTTTACTAATACTTTTACAGTCATCTCTCAATTCTTACTCAAGTGTCTCTTATACATTAACATTTCAGATCTTAAGACATTGAGATGAGTATTTACTTCATTCTCACTCACATCTTAGTCAGAAGCCTGCTTTCTCTTAATATTCATAGAATTCAGAGAGTCTTCTAACACAGACATCTCTTTCATTTTGAAGACTTTTTATAGAATATCAGTGAGTGTCTCTGAGCTCACTAATTCTACTAGTTTTTTAACTCTCCTACTTTTCTTGACTATATATACTGTGTGTAATCTTTTATATCATGATTTTAATATTTACAGTTACAGTAAGCTTAATACTCATAATATCAAGATTTTCACTCAGAGAATTTCTTTTTTGAGAGATTTAATACTTTAGTAATAATATTTATATCTAGATTTATCACATTCAGATATATAACTTATATTATAGAAGTCTGATTACTTATTCTCTACTGAGATATACTCAATTGCAGTATTTTCTATTATAATTAACTTACTTATTTCTGTACAATGAGAATATTGTATACTTCTTTCATTATATCTGATTATAAGATTAAGCATTTTCATTTCACTCTTAACTCAGATGTAAGATTATGAATGAAAATCTATAAATAGAAAGATGTTGAAAGCTCTTCATTCAATGTAAGATAGTATAAACTGAAGTGTGTGAAGTATAATGTAAGATTACTCACTTATCTATACTCAGTGAAGTATTTATAATACTTATCTTATATATTCACTTTCTCAAAGTTATGCAAGATTCATTTGAAAAACTCATTTCATATTTATAAGAATGAATATTGCTTCAGATCTGTGAGATTTATCTTTTTATTAATTATTTATAATAACTTTGCTTTTCTGTATAGAAATACAGCAGATCTTAAAACTTGTTAAAATTTCATTAACTGTCTGTCTGTGAATTTACATTTAATCTGATAATATAATTACATCTGACTTAGTCAGCTGATTACAGCATTATTTTTTCAATTATTATTAAAGCTTGATAACTTCAGCAGATCTTCTGACTTGATATATCTTATACTCAGATTCTTATTCTGCATAGTAATCTTCAATGATGTATACACTTCTGAAGAGATTATAAATAATTATAATAAGATCTTCAGATTCAGTGTAGTTATCTATCTGTGTAAATATTTAATCTCTCACTACAGGTCTAAGATCTGATTTTCTCTATTCTTATTGTTGATGATGATTGCATCAGTGAAGCTCTTCATAGTAAATACTTAATCTACAGCAAATGTCAATTGTTATTTGACTTTCATCTCAGTCTGTCACTGTATATACAAGGCCTTAATTTCATTTAGAATTCTTGTATGTGTACAGAGCTTTGATTCTGATTTAGTAGTTTCAGCTGCTTTTCTTACTACTTTAAGTAAACTCTCTGAGAGATTCTGCATATCTTTCAATTCAGATAGCAGAGAAGAGTGTTATTTATATTAACTAGAGAAGATATTCATTTCAGTAATTTCTCATTGATTATACAATGTCTATTATTATATTACTATATCATTATATTACTATATTATTATATTGCTATATCATTATATCACTATATCATTATGTGATTTCTATTGTTATTGTATAACTTCAGTAATAATCATCTCTCTCTTTTATCTCTCTGAATGAAGAGCAGTCTTCTTTGAATCTGATTCATCACTCTCATCTCTTTTCTCACATCTTATCTGTTTATATACATGACATTCATCTGAGTGTGAAGTTTTCTCTCAATAAGTGAAGCAGTATTAATCAGATACTCTTTCACTTATCATTCTTTATACACTATCTTTTGAGACATTCTAGAATCACACTGACATAATAACTATAAATCACTTTATAAACAGAATTATCATGCTCTGAAGAAGTTTGCACTTCTCATCAGTTTTTAGACATGCTATCAGATGTGATTCAAAGATTGCTTGAGTCAGTGTATGATTACAGACATATACTGACTTCTTATATATTATACACTAAATTAATTAGTGGCTGCTATGGCCTCTTTACACTTGTAAGTAAGTTCGGAAGCAGCCGCGTTATTATCTGACAGTCATACATTCTTCCGAATCACAAATGCTTTATTTTTCAGTATTTAATATATCTTAACTGATGTCTTCTGAACAGACTTATTAATTTTTCATAAGAATGTCAGATTCACTGATGACTTCAGTGTCTGTAAGAATTTCTGTATATCAGATCTTATAGTTATTATTATTAAATATGATTACAGTTTTAATATTCATGACTTTTTAAACATTCTTTTAATATTCACAGATCTCAGATTTGAAATTATCTGCTACAGAGATAACTACTCAATACATGCTTATTCTGTTACAGAATGCTATTAGATTATTAAATATTATTAATATTATATTATCTGAACTTATTTTAAATATAATACTTGTATATCACACTTCTGTACATGTTACTTATAAGCTTGAGATACTATTATCTGACTTATAATTTACTCTACTATTTACAGATGACTTCATGATCTCTTCTATAACTTCTGTATATTATATAGTATCTATTTTCTCTGATTCTTCATCAATAGATATCTGAGTGTAAGAATATAAATGTAAAGTTCTTCTTCTATCACTCTGTGATGTAGATAGACTGGCCGCCGGGATCATGAATTTCACATTTGATTTCATTTGATCTGGTCTCATACATTTCTTGGCGTGAATCCCGCTGGGACTGGCTATCAAAAAAACATGTAAAGTGACTATATATCAGATCTTAAAATGAAACCATGACTTGAAAAAAATGAGAAAGTGATCTCATTTGATCTCATTTAGTTCCATTCTTGGTATAAAGTTACTATTTTTAGACATTTTAAGGTTTTTTTTAGACTATTTTTAATTTTTTAAAAAGTAATGCTTTTTGATAACACTTAAATGAGATTTAAAGTTATTTAAAGCAATAAAAATAATTTAAATTGAGAAGTGGAAATCATGATCTCATTTGGAAAATGTGACAAGAGTAGACAGTAAGTCTCACTGAGACAGTATAGAACTACTATCTAATGTTAAAACTGTGTAATAAGATCAGTTGAATTGATAATAAAACTATCAAAAAATCTGGTTCTGGTTCCAGACACAGTCACATGATCAGTCTAGATGTAGATATATCACTCATCAGTCAAAGAAGAGTTGAATAAAGAAATTGAAAAAAAAAACATGTTATATTATACTGTAGAGTTCTGCTATTTCAATTATCAGTTAAGCAGATACACTTGAAACATGCAATGTAAACATAGTAAAAGAATTCTTCTATTCAGAGTGAACACATTCAATGCTTACACAGGTGTTTTTAAACAAAAGTAAGAAAAAAAAAATGTAATTCTTTATAAAAACATGCTATCTGAGCTATAACCTGTGAGATGATTAATTCATTGTATTCGTGTAGGAAGAGCTAGCTATATATACATTACATATGAGATCACGTGTAGGCGGAGCGGTCGCTACGGCAACGCCACTAGGGTGGATGCTACAATAAATAATAAAGAGAGTTGTTGCCTGCTGCCACAGCTGCTGCCTGCTGCCAACAGAGGGGCTGTTGCCTTGCGTGCACGTGATCCAGACATGTACCTAGATATATAGGTAATCTCGCTCGCTAGTTAGCTTCTCCGACATTAATGAGATCAACCATCACAATCCCCCAGAGCATGCAATCAAGCCTCTTCAACAGCGAAAACGCGATTGTGAAGCCCGTTCCAAACACCGAGCCCCAATGGCCGACAACAGCTCATCTGATTACAGAGCTCTTTTTCTGCAAGCGGAAGAGGGGCGCAGGCTTGCGGAAGAGGGGCGCAGGCTTGCGGAGGAAGGACGAAAACGCGCGGAAGAGGGGCACAAGCTTGCGGAGGAAGGACGAAAACGCGCAGAAGAGGGACGCAGACTTGCAGAACAGCGCAACTTACCAACCACATTTCCCGAATTTATTCGTGCTTGCCATACCCTCCTCTCTATTCCGTTGAGGGTTGCAGCTTCATCCCGCTCTACCAAGGGCACAATACCGCAACCGAAGGGGAAATACTGCCCGACAAATCTTCTTCAATGGGCAGATTTGCCAGCCAAGCAGCAAGATATCTTCACCTCCGTCTGTAACTACCTAGAGCCCGTTCGAGGCGCTGCACCACGCCACTTTCCGCCTCATATAGCCCTAGAAGAGCTTTCCCGACGCATAAGTCATCGCCCACTCAGTAGCGAGCAGGATCTTGAAACTTATGAGCGTCTAGCGGTGGAAGATCACATTGTGGACATAATTGATGAGCTATGCAAAATACCCGAGGCTCAAAAAGAGTTTGGTCTGGGTGATGGAGTTCGTTTTGAAAATCATGCCAACTCCCTGGACGACGCTTATACAAATCAATCCGACTCTCAACGTGCCAGACCGGACCAGTTCTGCATCCACCGGTTGGACAACAACATGAGCACCCTACTCACAACAGTGGAATATAAGCCGCCTCACAAGCTCTCTGTGGAAAATCTTCGAACGGGCCTGCGACCCATGAATTTCTGGGAAACCGTTGTCAAGCCACGGACCATACCAATTAAGGAGAAAGAAAAATTGAAGTATAACGCACAACACATATCGGGATCTGCGGTGACCCAGCATTATCACACCATGATAGAAGATGGGATTCCGTATGCATACCTGACCAACGGATTGGCACTTGTCCTCCTTCATATCCCATACGAGGACCCTAGTACCCTTTACTATTACCTGTGCGAGCCAAATTTGGATCTGAAAGCAGAGGATAGCCGGGCCTTCGACCAACCGAAAACCGCACTCGCGAGGGCGTTGTGTCTTTGCCTGATGAGTTTTCGTTCGGCTCCCCGTGACCAAAACTGGCGGAATGCTGCGCGGGCGCAGCTTCATATATGGAAGACTAGCTTTGACTACACCCTTTCCGAGATACCGGAAGAGGAATTGCGACAGGTGCCTCCAGATTCTGAGTACACCAGTTCTGAGTATACGGGATCCGAGTATTTACCGTCGTCCCCTACGTCACCCCCTGAGAGCCGTCGCATGCCGACTCGGTCTCAGCCCGGATGTTCGCCGTCCGATTTGGGTCGTCACATGGAATCGACTGATTCTTCTGATTCTGATTCAAATCAAATGGCACCTGGCCGTAAGCGAGGTTTTAGTCAGATTACGTCGTCTCCACCGACTCAACGGGCTGGTCGGTCTGATTCACACAATGCACAAGGAGGCCGTTTCCAACAGAACACAGCGAAATTTTGCACTCAGCGGTGCCTGCTCGGCCTCTGCTCCAGTGACCTTTTGGACTACAACTGTCCGAATGTGACACGACACCAGCATGGAGAAAAAGTTGAAAGGCATCATATCAACGGTTCAACCCTACTGCGCCTGCTGAACCAGCAGCTAGATCATAATCTTGACCATAACTGCTGGCCACTGGGTAATCGTGGGGCGTACGGGTCATTATTTAAGCTGACCTGTGCGGAGTACGGCTATACTGTAGCTGCTAAAGGGACAACTTCTACCCTCTGGACGGAAGTTTCAGGTGAAGCGGAAATATATCGAATTCTTCAGAGGGTTCAAGGAGCGGCTACCACTGTCTTCGTCGGATCTATTAATTTGGCGAAGACCTACTTTTTACATGGTTTCGGCCAAGTGCGCCATATGCTACTTATGGCTTGGGGAGGTGACAGCATCGCAAAGCTTGAGCAGTGGCCGACACTGCGACAGGAAATCTTGAAGTCAAAGAAGGAGTTTCGTGCCTTAGGGGTCATCCATGGGGACCTTCGACCGGAAAATATGCTATGGAATGATGAGCTCAAGCGAGTCCTTTTGATTGATCTTCATAAATGTAGGTTGGATCGTCGACTAATGGAAAAATCGAAGAAAAGGCCCCTGTGTGGCATGGGGCAAAGAGAACCTAATCGGCTCGGGAGATTTTTCACAGAACCGAAGAGACATTCAGCAAAAAGTTAAGCAATGGAACCCTTACATCCGTTCGACGCGGGCGAACATCAAGGCAATGAGCCTGGGTTTCCATCCCGCCATTTGCAATAAGGCTCGCTCATCTCTTGTAAGCGTCAACAGCAGGCATAGAAGAGCATTCACCGATGGAGATTCGAGCAAGTACAAGAAAAAGGCGTTACACCTTTCGCGCTGGAAAGGATACTTTTCTTTCATCTACAACGCCTATTTCGACTCCAGTGCCTACAGAAGGAGGGCGTGTCCGAGCGGGTAGATATCTTCAGGAGTTGCGTTGAGAGAGCCCGCGGAATTTTAAGAGACTTCTTTGATGGATGCCGTAACGTGTACCTGAAGCTTATTCAAAGGAAGACCTCCGTTTTCGAGCACCACAATGACGAGTGGTAGAAGGTGAAGGCAAGAGACACCACACCGGTATCGGCAATCATCATGGATGAGAACAAAAAGAAGAAACTATTAGGAGGTATTGACAAATTCCTTGATGAACGTACTCGTGTTTGGTATGCGAGGCGCGGCATTGAAGCCAAACCTCTGTCGCAGAGCATCTGCCCCAGCTCCTCTAACGTCCGGTGTGAGGGGAAGAGCTTCGGTGATCCGGACTGAGAATGGAAGAACCTCATCAAAACGGCGCTTCTTGGGCCTCGTTCGTAACCAGGTTGCTGCTGATCGCGGATATGATGCGGACTGTTGTCCATTCAACAAGGCCGGAAGCTACGGTGCACTGAAGTGCGCCTTTCCTCCCATGGGTTCACTCTAGTTGCCAAAGGGGCTACAAGTGAATACATAAAGCCCCTGTTGCGTAAACGCAGGATATAGAAAAGCTACTCGCCATCCAGGGTATCCACGTACCTGTCTGCCTCGGTGTTGTCGAGCTTGAACCGAAATCCCTGTACTCCTATGATGGAAGAAGGTACACACTCACATGCTCCTGCTCAGCTGAGTGGGAAAGCCTATTATGGGCTTCCTCAGCCCATCAACATCTACCATGGTTGCTAGCTCTGTTCGGGCAATTCATCAACAAGGGATTCTTCACGGGGATGCAAAGCCGCGGAACATTATACGGAATGATATCTGTCAAAGCTCTAATGATAGTGGATATTGCGAGCATCGATTACGAAATCTTTGTCCACTGTTTCAACAAATAGTCAATGGAAGAAAAGGCGTCGTGGTATGAAAGAGAAAGCTAAAGATGCATTTGCCGTTGAGCTGCAAACTGTCCAATCCAGTCTGAAGAAGCTTGTCCGGGGATTAGGAACTTTAGAGCTCTGAAGCCATGGTGTCAATCACTCGTGTTAGAATTAGGAAACTGGTTTTATTCCCACTGTCTTTTCTTGCTCTCCTCAATCACTCTCTTCCTCTACTCTTATGCCACCAGCGTGCGTTTCCGGTGGAATGTTCTTGAATTCACTTTACTGTAACATGGAAATAATTATTTTACCACTAGTAATTACAATATTAGAGTCTCATTGACTGGATAAAATGGGAAGAGCACCAGTGAGTGATTTACATGCCTGATAGAAGACAGTATATAAGGAAGCAAGAATGCCCTGAAAGAGCACTTGCATCAATAGTCTAGAGTATTGGTTTTAAAGCTGTTCCCGTCCCCATATTCACTTACATCGTGGGGTTATGAGCTTGCTAGGAAGGACAAAAATGGGACAAGAAGACTCTTCTCTAGCTCTGAGGGTTCCATATCAAAGCCACAGCGACCAGAGATCCAAAAGCATACAGTCTTCGCAATATAACGAATCATCCGTAGGAAAGATAAAGCCCAGAAATTTTTCTATTCTAGAGCCCATAACATCGGTTCCCATGTTTACAGCTAGACACAAATATCCTTCTCCGAAACCCCGCTTCCCGAGCCTTGTTTTCGACAGTTTTTGCCTCGATAACGACGGTTTTTGGAGCTTCGACTGAGAGATCTAGATGCCTATTTGACCTCGTCGATAGCTTGGGTAAAAGCCCTTGGATCAAAGCCATTATCTGCTGTTCACACGAAACCAATAATCTCATCATATACGGTGAGTCCAAAGTGGCAGAATTGCCCTGCTGGACTGCGTGGAAGGAGCGCGCTCTTTACCGCAGCCTTGAGACTGCATGGGCTGTAGGAGATACTCGTTCCAACTAACAGCCTCCACTGGTGACATTCGGGGTGAGATATAGCTACTTGCTCATTATAGGACTCACAAACCCATCCACTGCTAATATCTCTTGTTGTTTCCTTGGGTTGGGTTGCGATACGTCCACGTGACTATGCTGACTCACTAGATCACATGACCTTTCTAGTTCCTTCCACACCTCGCCGAAAAGGGCAAGCGCCAAGAAACCTGGAGAATGTTCCAAAAGAAAAAAAAAAATAAAGGATTTAAAATTTCTACAACCTTCTCTTCATCTTCATCTTCATCTTCCTCTTTGCTTCTTCACTCGCTCCCTTCACCTCTTCGCTTATTCAATTCCTCCTCTCTGGCCTTCTTGTCTCGCGCGATTTCCTGGGTTTTGTTGCGCTGTCTCTTGTTCCTTCGCTATATTATAGCTTTAATATATTCCAAATACCAACATAATGCAGCGAGCTCTTTCTTCCACCTCCAGGGCTTCGGTCCTTTCCTCCGCCTCCTCCACACGCGCTCCCCTCTCGCGATTCCGTCCAGCTGGTTTGAGCCTGCAACAACAGAGATTTGCTCACAAGGTATGATTTTCCTGCTTTAATTGCATTTCACTGCAGTCAATTGCGGAGGATGTCTTCTTGAAATCTGTCCTACGGCAAATATCCAACCCAGGCGTCAATGCTGATGGATATGGCTGTTTTAGGAACTCAAGTTCGGCGTGGAAGGCCGTGCTGCACTCCTTAGGGGTATTGACACTCTTGCAAAGGCTGTCTGCACAACTCTGGGACCCAAGGGAAGAAATGTTTTGATTGAATCTCCCTACGGCTCCCCCAAGATCACAAAGGGTATATGTTCCCTGCACTCTCTTTTATCTTTTTAAAGACGACCCCGTCCAATTAACAAACCTGGATTTGCAGATGGTGTCACTGTTGCCAAGGCCGTTACCCTTCAAGACAAGTTCGAAAACCTGGGTGCTCGTCTTCTCCAGGATGTTGCGTCAAAGACCAACGAAGTTGCCGGTGACGGAACTACCACCGCCACCGTCCTTGCTCGGGCTATCTTCTCCGAAACCGTAAAGAATGTCGCAGCTGGATGCAACCCAATGGACCTCCGCAGAGGTATCCAAGCTGCCGTTGAGGCTGTTGTCGAGTACCTCCAGGCGAACAAGAGGGACATCACCACCACGGAGGAGATTGCCCAGGTTGCTACTATTTCCGCTAACGGCGATACACATGTTGGTAAGCTGATCTCCAGCGCCATGGAGAAAGTCGGAAAGGAAGGTGTGATTACCGTCAAGGACGGGAAGACTATCGAGGATGAATTAGAGGTTACCGAGGGAATGCGATTCGACCGTGGATACGTCTCCCCTTACTTCATCACCGACACTAAGGCGCAGAAAGTGGAGTTCGAGAAGCCCCTGATTCTCCTTTCTGAGAAGAAAATCTCCGCTGTCCAGGACATCATTCCTGCCCTTGAGGCGTCCACCACCCTCCGACGACCCCTTGTCATCATCGCTGAGGACATTGAGGGTGAAGCTCTTGCTGTCTGCATCCTCAACAAGCTCCGTGGCCAACTCCAGGTCGCCGCCGTCAAGGCACCCGGCTTCGGCGACAACCGCAAGAGCATCCTCGGCGACATCGGCATCCTGACCAATGCCACCGTCTTCACCGACGAGCTCGACATGAAGCTGGAGAAGGCTACCGCCGATATGCTCGGCTCCACCGGCTCCATCACCATTACTAAGGAGGACACCATCATCCTCAACGGCGAAGGTAGCAAGGACGCCATCGCACAGCGCTGCGAGCAGATCCGCGGTGTTATCGCCGACCCTACCACCTCCGATTACGAGAAGGAGAAACTCCAAGAACGCCTAGCCAAGCTCTCCGGCGGTGTCGCTGTTATTAAAGTCGGCGGTGCCTCTGAGGTCGAAGTCGGCGAAAAGAAGGACCGTGTCGTTGACGCCCTCAACGCCACCCGCGCTGCTGTCGAGGAAGGTATCCTTCCTGGTGGTGGCACTGCCCTCCTCAAAGCTGCCGCCAATGGCCTCGACTCCGTCAAGCCCTCCAACTTCGACCAGCAGCTCGGCGTCAGCATTGTCAAGACCGCCATCACCCGCCCTGCTCGCACCATCGTGGAGAACGCTGGGTTGGAAGGCAGTGTCATCGTCGGCAAACTCACTGATGACTTCGCCGGCGACTTCAACAAAGGCTTCGATAGCGCCAAGGGCGAGTATGTCGATATGATTGCGTCTGGTATCGTTGATCCCCTTAAGGTTGTCCGCACCGCCCTTGTCGATGCGAGTGGTGTGGCGTCCCTTCTGGGCACTACTGAGGTGGCTATTGTCGAGGCACCAGAGGAGAAGGGCCCTGCTGCTCCTCCAGCTGGCATGGGTGGCATGGGCGGTATGGGCGGTGGTATGTTCTAAACCACAAATCGTTTTTAAAGCGCTCCTCCCAGGTTACCCCATTGAGGTCACCCGATACCATTTTGCCTTGGCCAGGCAATAAAAATAACCACCTGGCTGAGCTTCCCAGGCGGCTTTTCATTTTTGGCATTTTCATTGTATGATTATGTTTTATGTATGGTGTGCGTGAGGGAGCGAAAATCTATCCTGTCTGTTGATGTATCTCCTTGTGATTGTGCGTCTTGATTAGCCATGTTCTCTGGTTCCCCTTTTCCATTATTTCCTCATGTAATTTTATGCGTGCCTGTCTTATATTACTTTTACTGTATCATCGGTTGGTGTTTTGTGTGTTTACTTCTATATTTATATATTTATCGTCATTTTCCTTCCTCAAATTTCACCTCCCTCCGTCTCGTCTCGTCTGTTCTGTCCCATGACATTATCGAATCTTCATTCTCTCAGTGCACCCTTCCTCCCCACCAACCCATCACAGCCAGGAACAGACGAGACAGATGGTACACACAGAAACCTCTCCACTCCTCTCACCATCGCGCACGCCGCTATCACACCCAACGCGCCTATTCCCTGTTGTTAGGATAGCTCCAGGATAGATAAAATATCGAAATATGCATGCTGAATCTGCTTTTACTGTTGAAAAAGTGATTCTATTCTGAAGTTTTTTTTCGGTTTCATCATTTTCTTTTCTTTGCTAGATTCATTCCTATTACGTAGTCTTCGAACTAAGACCACAATCCGCCGGAGGGGCAAATCGCGAGCCGGGTAGGTAGTTATAACAGCCGGTGACTTTTTTTAAAATTTGGATTTTACTTTATATTTCTATTCATGTACTCCGTATTTATTTATTTACTTATTTTACCGTTGGAAGGAATGTCACCCAAATTCAAAATTGATGATTCTGATACACAACAGATAATATTTCTGTTCTGATATGTGGCTTAGTCATGACGCACCCGTTGTCGTGTTTATGACGACAGCGGTGTGGGTAGCTGCCACGGCCCCGTAGACTCCGGATTTTCGAAAAAAAAAAAAAAAGGATGATGCAGCCTACGAAACTTCAGGCATCAGTAATTACTGAAGTGACTGATGGATTGACTGGCTAAATCCTGATACCTGCGCCCTGTGTCAAGAAAGGGGGAATGAATAGTAGGCATGTTGTGGAGGGTACCTGTTCTTGCTGCTACTCCGTACTGGACACATTTCATACCAGGCTGCCAAGGTTCTTCAATGCATGGGTCGTGTCGATAAGCAGCGGGTGCGTGTCCGCAGCCGCAGCCCCATGGCGGCATGGGCCATGCCATGGCAACCCACCCACTTCCCAACCCAACCCCACCAACAAAAAGGCGTCCCTCAGCCCCTCGATTCATTCCATCCATTCCATCCATCCATATCCATCCATCCATCCATCATCCGCCAAACATCGCTTCTTCTACACACCTCTCATCTACACTTATCTACCGCTCCTCATCCTCTCGCCTCGTCTCTACCCGCTCGCCTCTCCTCGCACCCTCTCGTCCCCTTTCGATTTCCATCTCCTCCTCTGCGTTACATAGGGGTATGTGCTTTCTCGCCGTGGTAGCGCCATCAAAACAACGGGCTTCTCTGAACCACCCTATCTTCGCCGCCCCGCCATCCCCCTTGGCCATTGTCTCGTGATGGCATTGGCTGCAAACACAATAACATACCACCTGCACAAATTCTTCACAAAATATCTTATACACTTCCGCAACGAGATTGCTAACCGCTCTCGATCTATCTATCAACATCTAGTCTTCACGCCCCGAACGAAGCCCGTTTTTCCCCCCTCCGTAATTTTCTCAGCCTCCTTGCTTTTAAGCACGAATACAATAAACTTGCCACATCTTATCCCATCCGCGTCACCAACTGTACAATCATGTCGGTAAGTGGAGGAGGAGGGGGAGAGAGAAGGGATTGGCTCTGTCCTTCTGCTGAGGCATTCTTTTTTTGAGTGGAATAAAGTTGCTGATATGAAACATGTATTTTGTTGTCGTTAGGTCTCCGGGTATGTTGGCTATTTTCCTCGTTCTTTCTCCGCTTGCGCTACAACCTCCTCTCTCCTGTCGTATAATAACTTCCACGTTTCATCTATCGTCCTGCTGGTCTACACCCAGAAACATACTCCAAGAATGACCCCCCCCCCCTTCCATTGTCAGAAATGGCAACATGCAAGCTTACCGCAATATCTGTCGATATAACACATAACCCACCCTGGTTCTTATGTTTTGACCAATTCTGCCAAGAAGACGAAAAATACATATGCTAACGCAAAGCAAACAATACCCCAAGTACAGAGTGAGAGTAGGCTCAGAGTGCATGAACGCAACCAACGAACTGCGATTCAAAGGCTTGAAATACATCATCTTCAAGATCTCGGACGACAAGACGGAAATCGTCGTCGAAGACTCGTCGACGGATGACGACTATGAAGCCTTCCGCACCAAGCTGATCGAGTCCAAGGATAGCAAGGGGAAACCCGCCCCCCGGTATGCGCTGTACGATGGCAAGTTCGATCTTGGAAGCGATGGGATCCGGTTAGTCTATTATCGCTCTCCTTCAAAGCAAGACGAATTGTCTATGTATATGTACGTACATGATGTAGAGCTGGCATATCTGATCTACCCGCTTGATAGAAAAAAGATTATCTTCATCTCCTGGGTCCCCAGCGACACACCCACCTTCGTGAGTAATTCCACCGGCCGAAGCAATAATATTTTTTTTTCATGATCCTATTCTTTTCCCCTGGGAAGTACTAATTAAGCTAAAAACGTAGTCGTCCATGATCTACGCCACCACACGAGAAACACTGAAGAACGCATTGAACCCGCACGTCAGCATCCACGCCGACGACAAGGATGAGCTCGAGTGGAAGAACCTGCAGGAGATTAGCGTGAAGAAATAGATACTCTAATTTCGAACTTCCGTCTTTCCTTGTCTTCCGTTTTTTTTTTTTTTTTTTGCTCTTGCGTTGCTACTCTGTCTTTTGATAAAGAGGTGAAGTACGGTGGGAGGAAGGAATCAAGGGAACAGGGAGAGATATCAAGGCAAAAGGAGAGAAAGGAGGGGGGAGGAAATAAAAAAGAACTGGAAATGGAACTGGAAAATGATACCGCGACGTAGGGAAGAAGAATGTGTATGTATGTTAAAATCATGCAAAGGCGTGGGAAATGGGAGCAGAGGAAGGGAAGGGGGCCACGTTGGATGATGTCAGGCCAACCCCAACAAGCAAAGCAAGGGCATACACATAAAATGTACTGTTTTCGTTCCACGCTCTGATTCGTTTTTCTTCATTATCCCTCTCAGCTGAACTTGAACTTGTTTGGATGGGATTCGTACTGGGCGATGGAGCCCCAGCGTTGCTCGCAGTTTAAGACGTGAATGCTTTGGCATCTCTTTCATGAGCCTGTGTTTTCTTTTCTTCTTGTTTGCGCTTAGTATTTTTTCCCACTGTGCTCCGTATATCCCATACATCCATATATTCAGCCATCCCCCAACTCACCCAGTTCCATATCGTTGACAATAAATACAAATCCATCAATCACCCTGTCCTGGCCTGTGTGTCCTTCCTGCAAATCGTACGATCATGGCAAGCCAGCCTCCCGCTGACTCAGCTTCGGAAGCAGCCGCTTGGCGCCTTTCCCGTTCCCGGCACCAACCCGCTTGCTTACCTAACCGTCCCGTTTGGGACCACAACGTCGACTTCAAACTTCATCGTCAATCAACAACTTCTTCTGCGCCGTCGTGGAACTGCTCTGTTTGCTCTCCCCCCATTCCGCTCTGCTGTATATCTATCCATCTGCCAGCCATTGGGCCTCCCCCCTTCAACAATCCCCCCCCTCTGTACCATTGACATCCCTCCCCTCCCCGGGCCCCTCCCAAAGACAATGTCCTTCCGCACAGCGCTGCCCAGAAGCCTCGCTTCTGTAGCCCGATCAACAGCAACCACTGCCCGTGCCTACCGCCAATCCCCCTCCAGCCAGACAATAGGAGCATGCCTCTACTCCTATCGCCGTAGCAGCAATTGCTCGATGGCCAACAAGAGCCAACAGACCCGCTCAATGGCTACCACCACCGCTGAGCATGCAATTGCCAACCCGACTCTGGCTGGCATCGAGAAGCGCTGGGAGGCCATGCCGCCGCAGGAGCAGGCTGAGCTGTGGATGCAGCTGAGAGATCGGATGAAGGTTGATTGGCATGAAATGACCTTGCAGGAGAAGAAGGCGGGTATGTGCTCCTGTTCTCGACTTTGCTTTTCTTTTTTTTATTTTTTTCTATCATGTTTTTGATTTTCCTGTTCTGGGCTTTGGGCTTTGGGCTGGAATTTCCGCAAGCCGGTTTTTCCGAGGAGATTATGTCAATATCGTTTCTCCCAGCGTTCAATTGATGCCATATCAGCCACCCTTGCTTTCCCTCCCATCCCCTCCCCACGTTTTTCAAACCTTAGTTATATATGATATGCACAAATACTAACAAAAACCTCTCCCAGCCTACTACATCGCCTTCGGTCCCCACGGCCCCCGCGCCGAAACTCCCAAGGGCGAAGGCCTCCGCGTCTTCGTGCAAGTTATGAAATACCTCGTCATCTCCGCCGCCTTCTTCTTCACCGTGCGCGCGTTCGCCAACCCGCCGCCCAGGACGATGACCAGGGAGTGGCAGGAGGCTACGAATGAATATGCCAAGGTGCGTCATCAACAACTCCTTCTACAAACCATATCGTACTAATCCACGCACAGAGAGAGAAAATGGACCCCATCACTGGTATCAGCAGTGAAGGCTACACGGGCAAGGGCCACATCCAGAGCCCCCCGGCTAAGAAGGAACAGTAGTTAACTTTTTACCCACTTTGTCTCCCTCATTTTCTTCCCCCCCCTCTCTCCTTCCTCTCCCCCATTGCCCACCTCCTGTGTTATATTATTTGACTCTCTTCACCTCCCTCTCCCCTTCCCCTCTCCAGGCGTCATGAGTGGAGAAAATTAGGGGCGCTTTCTTTGGTAATAATAAAAAATTTGAAAAAATATATTTTTGATTGAAAGTGAGAATGATTATTTCTTTCTTTCTTTCTCTTTTTTCTTCTTTCTTTCTTTTTTCCCCTTCTTTCCTTTACTTTGCATATATTTTTTTTCTTTTCTTGTTGTTTACATATATTATTACATTACCAATAAGACGTGTTTCAATATAGGCTCCCTTTTTTTTTTTTTTTTTTTTTTTTTTTTTTTTTTTTTTTTTTTTTTTTTTTTTTCCTGCCCAGCCCTACCTACTACTACATTCATACATTATTATGTAGCTACTATGAACATTTGGGCAATGTTCATATACCTTTCACCTCACGTAAGTTACGTCCCCAGATTATTTGGATTGGAAATGTTGATTTGGCTACTATAGACGCGGGAATCGTGATATTCATAATTTGAGGCCAAAATGATCATAAAGCCATTGAAGTCCGTAGGATACCCGTAAAATTAATTACATTGAGTTTTCATGGTTCATCAGTCGGTGCAGAGGTACTCCGTAGATGGTCAGTTTTTGCCCCATTTGTGATACAGCCCAGTCTTGAAGCAATTTAACAATCAAGTCATGGCCGCCGGCAGCTGCACAGTCAAGCGCAGTCAAGGGGTTCTGAAAACCCTCAACGACCACTGTCCCGTCAATATCATCATCTCCACCCTCATAACATTGGCGTAGCAAACAAAGTACAATTTCGTCATGGCCGGCCGTGGGTCTTAGGCTGCCCTCTGGCTACTGTAACGGTGAATGCAAATTAACATCGATTCCGGGCCGGCTCAACAAAAGAGGTGTGATAGCCTGAAGCCTTTTTCTCCGCAGCGACAGATAGTAGAGAGAAGCTCGCTGAAACATGAGGGCTGTTGACATGGGCACCTGAGGAGGCGTTTTCGGATCCGGTGTTGGGTGGGCCACGGGGCAACCTGACCTTCCCCATTGGCATCAGCACCAGCAGCCCCTCGAAGCAAACGTTGCACTATAGCTTCATGGCCTCCAGCGGCTGCAAAGGCGAGGGGACGGCGATTATTGAGGTCAATGCTCTTACGACGCGGCAGGGGCTACCGCGCCGCAGTTGATGTTAACATCCCCACGCCCCACGAGAAGCCCCAAAATGGCATCATGGCCATTTGAAGCTGCCAGATACAGCGGTGTGTGTGCCTATATTCATCAGACACGAAATCCGGATCGGTTTGTTCATGATTTCGTAGCTCCTCGACCACGGGTAAGTGGCCATTTCTCACAGCGGTTTTGGAGAGCTGTATGTATATCCAGAGGAGTCAATTTCCTGTATACAGAGTTTACAGACTGTCAATTCCAGCATGACGCAATTGAATTCCTGGAATGCTTGTTCTCCAGGCTAACATAATAGATTTAACTTTCATGTCACAAAATCTAATTAAAAAAAGACTTATAAACTGGCTTATTAATTGAAGTGAGACATCAGAATCAAGTCATGAAGTTATTTAATTTGATATTAAACTGAGTGAAAAAGAAATGAGTGAAAATCCTCTTCTCTCTAATCACTATAACTTTGAAAAAGCTGATTGAAAAGCAGTTAAAAAAAATATAAAACTGCTGAAATCTGAAAAATAGAGTGAGCTTTATTAAAATCTGAGTTAAAATATTACAAATAAAATACTTAAAAATAAAGTAAATCTGATTATATCTATTCTTTTAATAAATATTAAAGAAAAGATTTTCAAAAGAAAAAGTTTCTCTGAACACTTTTAAATTATAATAAAATAAAAATATTATTTTTAAAAGAAAAGAATTAATTACTGTTAAAAAAAATTGAAAAAACAGCTTAATAATTAATAAAGAGTTTAAAATTATTAAAAATAAATATTTTTCAGATATTAAAAAAGTTAAAATAAACTGTTAAAATAAATTTCTTAAAAAAATATAAGAAAAAAAAGTGTTTAAAGCTTTCAATTATATTAAAACAAGAAATATAGAAAAACTTCAAACTTTAAAATGAATTATATACAGTAAATTGTTTTGAAGAAAAATATTAAGCTTTTACAAAAATTCTCTTTTTAATGAAGATAATATAATGTAGTAATTGATTATATTATTAAGATCTATCTATTTGTCATGCTCCCGGCCGCGCCAAGACTCTGTTGCGGTTTCACACGGCTCATTGCTTTCATGTGAATGATTTCTTTCTATCTGAATCAGTTTTCAACCACTCTATAACATCATTCAGATATATCATAGAAAGATTCAATTGATAAATATGAGAATTCTGCTTCTATATAAGATCAGCAGATTGCTCTTTCTTAATAATAAGATGCTGCTGAGGTATCACTTCAGCTATTCTCACTTATGAAATGAGAGAAGAGTATCTGCTTATTATCTATATAGAATAGCTAGATGCTGACTTCTTATTAAAGAAGTCAGTGATTTGTTTTTCTTCTACTGAAATATATATAAGAGTTACTGTGTGTTTCATACAATAGTCTTAGTATACTAAGTATCATATCTGTGATATTCTTGTAATAACTCTGTAGTCTATGAGCTCACTATTTAAGCAAGATAGTCAAGCTCACTTATATAACTTCTTAAATAACTATCTCTATATAATACTGCTGACTAGTTATCACTTCAGTTCTGCTATGTTATAATTTGAATCACTTAATCTGATTATATATTTGAATCAGTTGAGCTCTAACAGACTGATATAATCTTATACATTTATACTGAGACTGACCTGATCTCACTCTCTGAGAGAAATACTACACTATTCTCTAGAGTGTATACATCTCTATCTCAGCAGAAATTCAAGATTTCTGAACTCACTGCATATTTTAACATGAGCTTTTCAATCACTCTATTATCATCACAGCCTCTACACACCTACATCTATTATAAAGATAGAGAGATTAAGATCAGAGATTCTCT